GGATGTCACGTGGTGTATGGTATATATAGGGAGCATGCGCTTGGTGTGCTCTTTCGAGTTCGTTGCTCATCATCAGATCTATACATGTTGAATTTTTTATTTAAAGTGTAAGGATGCAATTTTATGTAGATATATGTTGACCAGTGGGGTAGGATGTTTGGTTGTGGATTGTAATAAAGGAATGACTAACGAGCTATAATCCCATTGATGTCTTGTGTTATCATTTTAATTTAATTCGGACGAATATAATGAGGGAGAATATAAATGAAATTAACTTCGGTTATTTCCGTAAGTATTCGGGTGAGGACGTGTCGGGTGGATGTCACGTGGTGTATGGTATATATAGGGAGCATGCGCTTGGTGTGCTCTTTCGAGTTCGTTGCTCATCATCAGATCTATACATGTTGAATTTTTTATTTAAAGTGTAAGGATGCAATTTTATGTAGATATATGTTGACCAGTGGGGTAGGATGTTTGGTTGTGGATTGTAATAAAGGAATGACTAACGAGCTATAATCCCATTGATGTCTTGTGTTATCATTTTAATTTAATTCGGACGAATATAATGAGGGAGAATATAAATGAAATTAACTTCGGTTATTTCCGTAAGTATTCGGGTGAGGACGTGTCGGGTGGATGTCACGTGGTGTATGGTATATATAGGGAGCATGCGCTTGGTGTGCTCTTTCGAGTTCGTTGCTCATCATCAGATCTATACATGTTGAATTTTTTATTTAAAGTGTAAGGATGCAATTTTATGTAGATATATGTTGACCAGTGGGGTAGGATGTTTGGTTGTGGATTGTAATAAAGGAATGACTAACGAGCTATAATCCCATTGATGTCTTGTGTTATCATTTTAATTTAATTCGGACGAATATAATGAGGGAGAATATAAATGAAATTAACTTCGGTTATTTCCGTAAGTATTCGGGTGAGGACGTGTCGGGTGGATGTCACGTGGTGTATGGTATATATAGGGAGCATGCGCTTGGTGTGCTCTTTCGAGTTCGTTGCTCATCATCAGATCTATACATGTTGAATTTTTTATTTAAAGTGTAAGGATGCAATTTTATGTAGATATATGTTGACCAGTGGGGTAGGATGTTTGGTTGTGGATTGTAATAAAGGAATGACTAACGAGCTATAATCCCATTGATGTCTTGTGTTATCATTTTAATTTAATTCGGACGAATATAATGAGGGAGAATATAAATGAAATTAACTTCGGTTATTTCCGTAAGTATTCGGGTGAGGACGTGTCGGGTGGATGTCACGTGGTGTATGGTATATATAGGGAGCATGCGCTTGGTGTGCTCTTTCGAGTTCGTTGCTCATCATCAGATCTATACATGTTGAATTTTTTATTTAAAGTGTAAGGATGCAATTTTATGTAGATATATGTTGACCAGTGGGGTAGGATGTTTGGTTGTGGATTGTAATAAAGGAATGACTAACGAGCTATAATCCCATTGATGTCTTGTGTTATCATTTTAATTTAATTCGGACGAATATAATGAGGGAGAATATAAATGAAATTAACTTCGGTTATTTCCGTAAGTATTCGGGTGAGGACGTGTCGGGTGGATGTCACGTGGTGTATGGTATATATAGGGAGCATGCGCTTGGTGTGCTCTTTCGAGTTCGTTGCTCATCATCAGATCTATACATGTTGAATTTTTTATTTAAAGTGTAAGGATGCAATTTTATGTAGATATATGTTGACCAGTGGGGTAGGATGTTTGGTTGTGGATTGTAATAAAGGAATGACTAACGAGCTATAATCCCATTGATGTCTTGTGTTATCATTTTAATTTAATTCGGACGAATATAATGAGGGAGAATATAAATGAAATTAACTTCGGTTATTTCCGTAAGTATTCGGGTGAGGACGTGTCGGGTGGATGTCACGTGGTGTATGGTATATATAGGGAGCATGCGCTTGGTGTGCTCTTTCGAGTTCGTTGCTCATCATCAGATCTATACATGTTGAATTTTTTATTTAAAGTGTAAGGATGCAATTTTATGTAGATATATGTTGACCAGTGGGGTAGGATGTTTGGTTGTGGATTGTAATAAAGGAATGACTAACGAGCTATAATCCCATTGATGTCTTGTGTTATCATTTTAATTTAATTCGGACGAATATAATGAGGGAGAATATAAATGAAATTAACTTCGGTTATTTCCGTAAGTATTCGGGTGAGGACGTGTCGGGTGGATGTCACGTGGTGTATGGTATATATAGGGAGCATGCGCTTGGTGTGCTCTTTCGAGTTCGTTGCTCATCATCAGATCTATACATGTTGAATTTTTTATTTAAAGTGTAAGGATGCAATTTTATGTAGATATATGTTGACCAGTGGGGTAGGATGTTTGGTTGTGGATTGTAATAAAGGAATGACTAACGAGCTATAATCCCATTGATGTCTTGTGTTATCATTTTAATTTAATTCGGACGAATATAATGAGGGAGAATATAAATGAAATTAACTTCGGTTATTTCCGTAAGTATTCGGGTGAGGACGTGTCGGGTGGATGTCACGTGGTGTATGGTATATATAGGGAGCATGCGCTTGGTGTGCTCTTTCGAGTTCGTTGCTCATCATCAGATCTATACATGTTGAATTTTTTATTTAAAGTGTAAGGATGCAATTTTATGTAGATATATGTTGACCAGTGGGGTAGGATGTTTGGTTGTGGATTGTAATAAAGGAATGACTAACGAGCTATAATCCCATTGATGTCTTGTGTTATCATTTTAATTTAATTCGGACGAATATAATGAGGGAGAATATAAATGAAATTAACTTCGGTTATTTCCGTAAGTATTCGGGTGAGGACGTGTCGGGTGGATGTCACGTGGTGTATGGTATATATAGGGAGCATGCGCTTGGTGTGCTCTTTCGAGTTCGTTGCTCATCATCAGATCTATACATGTTGAATTTTTTATTTAAAGTGTAAGGATGCAATTTTATGTAGATATATGTTGACCAGTGGGGTAGGATGTTTGGTTGTGGATTGTAATAAAGGAATGACTAACGAGCTATAATCCCATTGATGTCTTGTGTTATCATTTTAATTTAATTCGGACGAATATAATGAGGGAGAATATAAATGAAATTAACTTCGGTTATTTCCGTAAGTATTCGGGTGAGGACGTGTCGGGTGGATGTCACGTGGTGTATGGTATATATAGGGAGCATGCGCTTGGTGTGCTCTTTCGAGTTCGTTGCTCATCATCAGATCTATACATGTTGAATTTTTTATTTAAAGTGTAAGGATGCAATTTTATGTAGATATATGTTGACCAGTGGGGTAGGATGTTTGGTTGTGGATTGTAATAAAGGAATGACTAACGAGCTATAATCCCATTGATGTCTTGTGTTATCATTTTAATTTAATTCGGACGAATATAATGAGGGAGAATATAAATGAAATTAACTTCGGTTATTTCCNATTCCACAATTCAGTATCAATACAATTGCGTATGATATGTCTATAGGGTGATTTAAGTTTATCAATAGAACTCTGAGCTGAAAGTTAGATTTGAAATTGTTTCGATTTTTCTCCGGAACAAATTTAGGGCATGGATAAATACAGTGAACACCGTAAATCCGACGTTGCCCTCCACGAGGGAGTTATTTTTGGAAGTTAATTCGAACTTTTCTCTTTGCTCATTTTGTGAAGAATCCAGACGTGAATTGATTTATATATACAAATATACAAAAGAAACAATAATCCTCATATCAGTTACGGTTTTACGTTTCTTTATCATGACAAAAGGAATAGCTTTTAAATCTCAGTAATTAGAATGAGTTAAACTACCGCTTGAATGGCTGAGCTCGGGAAAACGTTTTAGTGGATATTTACAACTGGTTTGGTTTGGTTTAGTATTGTTTAACGTCCTATGACTTATGATACTTACAAAAACCACTCAACCGCAATCAGCAGAGAAATAGAACCGGCTGGTATGTTCATTGATGTCAGAATCATCACTATGGCTACGATACTAGCACTTGGTATGCTAGGTAACGCCATGCTGCAAATATCGGCTAAAATGCTAAAAAGAAAACATTTTAGAGAAAACACTTTTACTGTAATAATTGGAAAAAGTGAACTGACTTCTGCAGGTTAATTACGAAAAGGGTTAGCTTCGCTTTTGCCATTGTTTAGAAGCTATGAAATAGTCTTATCTCTGTCCTAAACCATACATATTATTTGACGGTTCAAAACTGATGGCGGCATCTAGTCAACTGCTTCAATAATCCCACTAGAACTTAACCAGTAGCAGTCACAACTGCTAATTTAGTATATCATAATCTGAATTGTTAAATACTCATGGTACATACCAAGTATTTGCTGCAAAAACAACTGGTGTATCATATCAGAATGAGGTTTAAATGATTATATTACCAGTGTGTGTAGCCATCATTTTTCTGAAACATATTTGCTGCTTTTTGTTTGCTTCTTTGTTCGTTTATTTGTTTTGTTGTTTAAGTTAAGGTGATATGAAAATACACAATTGTTGGAATTTTAAGATAAATCATATTGACCTAACATGATGCAAGAAGATACAAAAGTAAAGGTTGAACCGCTTCTGATCGGGTCGGATCGTTACATACGTTCAGTAAAATAATGATTGTACTATTTCTAAATGCATGTTAACTATAATATTTCATTCCATTGATAAAGCTAATCACAGAAGTGTTTTTTATGATGATGATGGTGATGATGACTGTTTCAAGTATCGACCTAAAGAATACCAGTTAATGTATAATATTCAGTAAAATCAACCTACCCTATAAGAATTATGTCACAAGCATTCAGATCCATTCCCACAACATTGCCAACAAATATGGAAGCGGCTGCAATAAACATGACGCTCCCGTTTGAACTAAGTGCCACGGACAATGGCGCAACAAATCGACTGACCCTTATGTCGACGTTCTGGTGATCTTCGCACGCGGACAATATCTCAGGAATAGCCATCGCACTGTAATGTAATACTCCTTGTTTCACCTTAGTACAACAGTTAATTGGATCTTTACAAATAGTGGACACAGCTTTGTATTAAGATTACTGTACATGTTGAAATTCAGGAAAAAATAGAGAAAATATTTATGTCAACATAATGTACTATAATTCATTTTCTCTTTTTGTTCGTTGTTTCAATCCAGTTGTTCGAATTTTCGTTTCATAACTTTGTGAATTATAGATACCAAACCTCGTAAACTAGTTGCCTTTTTTAAAATAAATACAAGCGATGAAGCGTCATTAATAATATTATTTTTAACCACCTTTGATCATATATCATTTTCAAATGATTTAATCATAACTACATTAAGTTCTATTGGAGTAAATATTTTCTCTTTCATACATCAGCTTTTTTCACACCTCGTTCCATGCTTACTTGGAAAAAAACGGTAATTGCTTAAGTAATCATATCTATTGAACTGGTATTTCTAGTTGTCATGTAAATTCCTAATAAAGTATTTTTTGCCATATATATGTCTTCCTATACAATGTCAGTTTTACAGATTTCCATGAAAATATCGCCATATTTGTATTAATCATATAATATGATCAATCCAACAAAAACTTACGGGCTTGTTGTTGCAAAGACAATCATCCAAGCTTTACCGATCTGTACAGCAAATCTATAAGGGTTTCGTCGGGTCAACACAAAAAACAGTGTCGGCATTAAAATTAACTGATGCAGTAATACACCAACAACCATCAGGCCAACCAATATTCCCAAAGCCTGAAAATTCTGGACAAGGTCCTTTAGAGAAGCTGTAGTAAATGCGATCAAACTTAGGACACCCACGGGCGTGAACCTGTAACAAGGGAAAAAGAGAAATCACAATGCAAAGATGTTCTATGACCAATCAGCAATTTTATTCGCACTTAAGTATAAACAAATTAAATATTTCGTTATATCTCTTGGATAGTTGGACGGAGTGACTGTATAATGTATTGTATTCCGAGTATGATGTTCCACCTCTACAGAGAAAACACATTTCCCTGCCTTGCTTATTTGCCCATAACATGTAATTAATATATTTGTATAAAAGTATACATGCTTTGTGCGGCGATCCTGTTTTTACGGTGGTTATTTTCTTTTGCAAACTACTTAAACCACAAAGAAACAAAATGCGGATGAATCGTCTTATTATTATCATAAAATTATAATGTCAATTAGAAATGAAAATAAAAACATCTAGATTGATATCTTTAGAAAATTGAATTGAAATGGCATATTGGGTGTTTAATATTGTGAAACATTTTTACCATAAAAGCCACTTCAGGATTGTCATTATGACATCTGTCAGCGAATTAAAGAAGTCGAGTACTGGCTTTCCCTTCTCTTCTGCCTTGTTTATGGCTATGCCTAGCAGCAAACATGTCACAATAATACCTAAGGAATGTATAAAACGCATTATTGTAACTAAACCTTTTTTTCGAGAATAAATAGAATATCTATGAATTGTGTATCAGTGTAAAGAAATGTCACTTGGCATATTTATCATAACTATGTAAGGGATGAGAAAGTCTTATGTAAATGTACGTTTCCATTATCAAAATCTCATCTTGTAATGCATAACCCTTTTTATCAGATAACTGACCCATTTTACGATGTCATACGGTCATGCCATAAATATGGCATTAGACGCGTGTAATAAAACCTAAAGGTGCTGCGATTGATCAGATCCAAGGGAACATATTCCAATGCTACTACCGGAACTACTTTTATTTACTTTACAACATGATGCATTGACTGAGTACGTTGGTTTTGACATAAATAGTCAGTTGATAACACAAAATGTTAATGTTTTGTTATAGAATCTTACATTCGTGGCCATGTTATATTGAATTAATTAACTC